TCGATTTTTTCGTATTTTCCGACCTGAAAAAGATATTTGTGTAAGGTAAAAAGTTGTTTTTCGTGATCAGCAACTCTCACTCTATCAAATGATGTAAAAAAAACGGCAAAAAAAATTTTTACTTGAAGTTTGAATTGCCTGCACCTTATAATGCCACGATTTCCGCAAACCTTTCTGACTTATTCAATCCACAAGTTTTTTCCTATGAGATCTGACAGGATTTTGTTCTCCATGTCTATCCTGCGGTATTCCGCAATCTTTTCTCACCAATGTCTGTCCAGGGTGACCGTAGACGAACTTGTCTGTATTTTTTATTTTTGGAAAGCTAAGTACTTTTTTCTTAAAAAGTTATAGAAACTTTTCGCGTGTCCGATAACCTTCTAGAAAATGTATACTTTAATATTTTGACTTTAACACGCATTTTCATGTATATAAAACCAAACTATTAATAGATAGCTGAAAAGGTCTTTTTTATGTCAGGAATATTCTATTTTCTTCCATCAATACGAAATTAAAGTCATTAGAATGATCTCAGTACTGTGAAAAGAAGCTGTATAGAAAAGCAGAGATATCAAACTATTCTAATTTCTTCAGCTTTGAATACTCTGTTGAATAGTATATAACTTAAAAGCTTCGGTAAAAACATTGACAAGTTATAGTTAAAAATATTAAGGTACACATTTTCCGGAAATTTATTCGACACAAGAAAAGCTTTTATAACTTTATGAGAAAAAAGTACTTAACTTTTCAAAAATAAAAAATACAGACAGGTTCCACCACGGTCACCCTGAACAGACATTGGTGAGAAAAGATTGCAGGATGCCGCAACATAGACATGGGCGACAAAATCCACAAGCTGTTACTTTGTATCACCATGAGAAAATTCTCCAGACCTTGCTGGGTTTGCATAGTGAGATATCTTGTGTATTACAAGTGATAACACGTAGGAAAAAATTCCGTAGGATATGCAAAGTGAAGAATCTGCGAGATATATCCGATGAACGCGTGCAAAAGCTCCTGCACGGTGTGACCCGAGAAGAATACTCCAGGATCCTGCAGGAAAGAAACTTGAAAAGTGCGCGTGTTAAAGAATTCTGCTCAGTTGCACTCATCAACCTGCAGAAGAAATTTCGGTGAGGTAACATGATGTAAAAATCTGCAGTATATATATATCCAAGATTCACATGATTTTCTCAGGTTCGTAATTTCGTAAATTCGTAAATTTTTTTCCAGTGGGTACCATGATTTTGTGGTTTTCTCTTCGGCCATGATATTCAGACAGGATATTACGGCGTTTATCTACAACCTTCTCTTGTGTGGGCAAAGCATATTTCAAGCAAATTTAATATGGAAAAAATGGAGTAAGAAGGAATAGAGAAAGATATGAGAGTGACAGAAAGTGGAATTTAAAATAATATGGAGATCCTATTTGATCACTCATCGTGATCTAAAAGCAGGACCCCAGGAAAAAAAATCCCTTTGTACGTATATCACGTAGCCACACTGCACAGAATGTTCGTAAACGGGATATGTGTTTTGCCGATAAAGAAGAAAAAATGTTTTGGGCTGATAAAAGAGAAAGAAAATTTGCGCATATGGTTCAAAGAAATTTTTTATAAAAAGACTTTTTGGGTTACCGTCTTTGAAAAGGAGAACTTGTAGGTGAGAAAACGTTTTTTGAAGTGGAATATTTTTGCAGTAAATGATGAAGATAACAATGGAAACAGAAGGAAAACGAGTTACTGTTTTCTCCTACTTCGACTAAATAATTAAATGTAACTGAAGTGTTTTTTCGATGTGTCGCCTGAATCACATGTTGGGTTAACTGCAAAATTTATGAGATAAACGATGCTGAGGGTTTATTCCTAATTGTTGCCACGAATGCACAAGTGTGTTAAGTTCAAGGGGAAACCGAATCTAGGATCTGGACGGATCTTTCTGCATCCATCCACGTAGTTGACGGGCCCGTTGGACCTATTCCATCGGATCCAGGCGAATACATGCATTTTCGAAAGATTAAAAGTCGCATCGAGTCCAGAAAAAACTGCAATATGACTCCAGAAATCTAAATCTCATCTTTATTTAAAATAAACTCTGTGATATAACATCATCACTTTGCGGTAACTATAAAAAATGATTCATTTTCTTATCTTACTTATCTATCTTCACATATTTGTATATAACCAAAGATCTGTTGCTACGCAATGACTATTTGCTTTGAAAAGAATTCTCACCGAAAACACAAAATATCATTTTCTTTGATCTAGTACAACACGTGAGTCAATCGTTGCTATACTAGAAATTCAATTACATAGGTTAATTTTTTCAGTCGAAATACTTTGTACTTTTTATATAGTTGAAAAATCCAGATATTTTCAATAATGATCAGAATGGTTTTTCTTTTATGTATGGGGCTTCAGTTGACGAATGGCGATTGTGGTACAATTCTAACTTTCTCTGATCTGCAGCGAATTGTTTTTTCGTGACTGTGGTGTATAGTGAGCAAACACAAGAAGATTCTACTAAAATCTTTTTTTATTATTAAGGTACAAGCTGCGGATATTATTGTTGCGCATGTAAGAATATGACTTTTCCTCATACGTCTTCTTAATATAGGGAAATATTTCGTTCTTCCACAGCTGATGAAACATGTAGCGGTACTGGTGGTTGTATATCGAATTTAACAGGATCACGAACCTGGTTGTTTGTTGGTGTCTCCATTGGCCCTATTTTAATTCTGATGGTTTGCATACCTGTGTGTCTGTGTTGTAAATCAGCAAGAGCCAAACCAGTATCATTTATTAATCCTGCAGCTACTCATCGTCAGCGCTCACCGTCTATGGATAGAGATTTAATCGCCATGATCACGCAACAACAATACAAAGTTTAACTGTCATTTTCTAAAGTGAGATTTGCTAATAATATTATTGTATTTTAAGTAAAATGTTTTGGGCAATTTTGGTGAGTAAATAAAAATTGAGAAGACAAATTTTGCCATAAAATTTTATGAAATCCTTGAATATCCTATTCAACACTACTCAGGATTATTGTCTAATTTAACCAAGTTTGAAATAAGACTGAATTTGATAGAGCTCATTTGCATTACTTGAGTGAAAATACAGTGCTCGTTTAAATCGACCACAGACCGAAACGGGTCAACCAAACGTGACTCTAGCTCGACCCGACCAAATCAATATCTTATACGTTGGTCCGAATCCGACCCGAACGGACCCGAAAATTTTGCCATTGTGATCTGAACTAGACCTGAAACATGAAAATGTTTTCGTACACATTCGCAAAGAAACACTTCTTTCCTATAGAAAAGTTATCTTAGTCTTGTTTTGAAATGTTTTCAAAAAAACGGCCAGATTCCTTACGGTTTCCATCATTTTTCCTTTTATAAGTGGAAACATTTGGGTAATTCAGGCAGTTTATTTTATATCGGCCTGAATTGGATCGAAATGCATCAACCAAACGTGACCCGAATCAATCTCTTTTACGTTGCCCCGAACTTGACCCGACCCGGTCTCTGAAACCTACCACAACTCTTATAACATAGTCCCATAGTCTCAAAAACAGGCATGTTTACTCTAGAAACAAACTGTTTGTTTTTACAGAACTTTTAAAAGGTTTCGAATTTTGGAACCATCTCGCAAGTATTTTAAGGTTTTGCACAGAATAAGTTTAGTAGGGATCTTCTATATATTTCTACTTCGCGTAAGCTAACATAATCCAAGAATACTTTTCGTTTTTCAAACCTGAAAAGTATGGTTTATATTGAATTATTAACAACAAATGCTTATTATTTATCTACGACTAAAATAATATAAAGAATTTAGAAGTGACACTTTATGATTGTCATCCACCTCTACCGTTACTCCAATCATCCAAAATTACTTTTACTTTACTCGAGTCCGAACAATGGTTTAACTCGATACTGTTTAAGTGTAACTGATAGTACAGTAATTGATTGATTAGTGGGGACCAACGATCGATTTACTAAACTCGACATCATTTGGATCTTCAAGAATAAAATATTTTAGAATTTCTGTTGATGATAATAACGTCATTTCAGCATGCCACCGGCTAGATCGACCTCTTGATCTTTCGGAAGCTATAATGGCGATCATGTGATAAGCGTTTGATTTTTTGGTATATTAAAAAGATGAAGTCTGTTACACTCACTCATGTTATGTCAGGCGTCACTGATATTCCTTCCTCTGCCTCTTTTCTGTTCTGATGACCGCAAAGAATGTTGACTGAGTCAACATTCTTTCTGTATCTGTTTTTCACTTCTCATTATCACAAAGTATCTTGACTCAGTTCTTCTGTCTTGAGTCAACATTCTTTCTTCACCTATATATGGGGTTTGTTTGTACACACTGAGAGAGTTAGTTTTAATGTGTTTGTGGTATCAGGTTTGTTTTTGTGCGGACTGTATCGTTTGTTTTCGAGTTAGCGGTTTGT